CCACCAATGGCAGCCTGCAGGCCACAGAGGCTGTTCAAGGGAAAGAAAGTTCTAGCAATTCCGTCTGCGGCAAGAAGGTGCCACCAATACCCAGAGAGAACAGAGGTCACGGCCACAAGCCAGAGTAGGGTGCTGTCGAAAAGGGATGTTTGGAGGATGAAAAAAAGAGAAGGAGCCCCTAAATTTAAAAATAAAACAATCACAGCAGAGCTGCTACCCCCACAGAAGGTTAGAAGGTAAAGCTGAGAGAATGCCCCAGAGAGTAGAGGTACAGGAGGAAGAGTCGGGGGTAAAAACAAGGGGGATCGGGGAAGAAAGGCGAAGGGGGACGATAGGAGGGTCCCAAGTGCCGACAACGAGTGCCACGAGTGTGCGGGACCGAACCCGGAGGGGTCGGGGAGGAAACCGGCCAGGCCCGGGCTCCAGCCTGGAGAGGCCTGAGAAATACCCAGCGCAGGAAATAAACGCAGACCCTCACCAGCAGTTGCTCCGAAGTTCCAGCGCGCCTGACCCAGAGGGGAGGTTCTCCCTGCTCCCGGGGAGGAGAACCAGACCACCCTCCGAGGACTGGCGCTCTGTCCCTCCCCAGCAATACGGGACTCGGGGAAGCAACCCAGCGATGCCTTCGAACTTCTAGAGAAAAGTCCCGTGTACCAAAATCCCATGACTGGGGAAGTGTCGATCGGGAACGATGGTGCCATAAGATGGTTTGTGACAGGCAAGGTCTCAAATGTATTTGCCGAGTCACACTTTCTCAAGAAGCTACTGAGGCACGTGCTACCCCCATGCGAAAAGGGAGACGGAGACCAAGAAGGCCAGGGACACGGGGAGCAGTTCAGCACCACGGGGTGGTGGGGAGGGAGTCCCGGGGGGACTGCGGAGGGACCAGAGCACCGCCGGTCCAGGGGACAGCCAGCCATGTGACTCAAGAGGCCGTCCCACTGCCCCGTTCCACCCAGGGCAGAAGGTTGGGGTAGGGCTTTGGCTGCTTGGCTGACGCTGACCGGAGGCTGACGGGACATTCCACATCGACGTGCCCCCAAGAGCAGGAGGCCGTCAAGGGGAGCACAGGAGTTGACACAACCCAATGCTCGCTCCCTGGCCACCCTTCCATGGGCCCATCCCAAGGCCCGACCCCGTAGACTTCCCACCTCCGGGACTCACTCATGTCTTGGCCCACCGATGAGCTCGGAAGGGACTTCGCCAAACTCAGAGCAACAAGCCAGGCCCGGACCCGGGGCTTCCCCTCAGCTCGCTTTACATTTTGTACTTTCCCGGGAGCCTTCGATTATCAGTGGCAGCACTGGGTCCTTCCTCGTCCACATTTGGTGTGTGCCGCCTACTTCATTTTTCAGAATAAACCACGTGTGGCAGAGAGGCTGTGGCGGAGTTGGCCTGGTGGTCGCCAGCTGCACCCTTTTCCTCCCGGGCACCCAGCTTGACATGGCCTGGCCCCCATGCAGGGAGGTCAGGTACAGGACCTCGGCCACCTCCGGGCCTGGCCAGGAAAGCCCCTGTGCCACCTGCCCCCCCTTCTCTCTGCTCATCCTCCGCCAGCCCCATGCAGGGCACCGAATGGAGGGCTCCGATGCTCCAGGGGATGGACACCCACTGGGAGGAGGAGCCGGGGTCCCCGAGTGACCCCACAGAGCAAAGCCTCGACCCAAGCTGCACCACACTGTCACCAACAAGAAACATCGGTCCCTCTGCCCTGCTCAGTAAGGGATGTTTGCATCGGCGGTAACCTGGGAAGGAAAAATCTAGAACCCCCTGGCACGCGCAGCTCCTGGTGTGGAGTGGATCTGCGTGCGTCCTCGCAGACCAGAGCTGATTAGTCAGCGTTTGCTGAGTAAACCAGGGAGCAAATGGGACTGAGCTCTGGGCGAGGTCCCGTCTGCACGGTCTCTGCCGGGGGCCTCACGAAGCACACATGGGCGGTGCGTCCGGGTCGGGGGGGCACTCCCGTTGTTCTTGGGACACAGTTGTTTTGCATAAACACACAGGGAACCTGCAGCTCTCCCACCGTGCACGTGCCGTGCACAAGAACACAGGCGGCGCACGGCTCCCCGGACAGATGTTCACTCGCCGGCGGTGAGAGCTCGTTTTCCCTGCAGCGCAGGGTCCCACCCCTGGCCTCTGCCTCCCCGCACCCTGCTCTCCGCACCCGCCTGCCCCCCCCCTGCAACCCCACGCCCCCACCCCACCCCCGGAACCAGGCCTCTGGCCCTGCCTGCCCTGGGAAAGCCCCCAGCACGGACACAAACATCCTCTGCGGCCTTCAAAGCCAAGTTCAGACGTCACCAGTGCAGAGTCCCGCCCCAGGGCTCTGACTCCGTGCACCCAGGGCCTCGGGCCCACCACAGCCCAACGCCCGCCTGGCACCTGAAGGGTGTGGGCGTGTTGCTCCCAGGCCAGGGGACGGTAGCAACGTTTGTTCGTGAGGAGTCCACAAAATGACTCGTGGCCCGTCCTTGCGAAGGTGGCGGACCCGCCCTCGCTGGTGTGACTCCATTGGTTGGAGCTTCGTCCCACGCCCCAGAGAGTTGTGGGTTCATTCCCCGGTTCAGGCACGCACGGGAGGCAACCAATCAACGTTCCCTCTCACGCTGACACTTCTCCCCTCCTTCCTCGCTCTAAAATCAATCAACGTATTTGAAAAGACAGTTCTTTTTCAAAAGGAAAGGAGATGGACCCATCTGGTTCTTCAATAGGCTTGTCTCTGCTTTTCCAAACCAGACCCCCCAGTATAATAAACAAATCGGTGGGTGCAGCCGCCTGGTCCGCCGTCGGGTGGGAGGAGCTCGGGTCCGCCCCGTGACAGGGCTGCGGGCCGAGGCTGGGCCGAGGTGGGGGCCCGCCCCTCCCCCAGGGGAACCTGCACACCTGCGCCTCGTTCCCCATGCCTTTCCCTGTGCGAACAGACACATTTTGGTACCAGGAGGTCCGCCGAGGACCCTGAACTGGCCCTGAGCAGTCCGCCTCCGGGTTCTTGTTCCTGACATTCCACTACTCCCCCCGTCCGCCCATCAGTCCCCCACGTCCCCTCCTCCAGGCAGCCTTCCCAACCCTTTCCCCGGACGTATCGCTGGCCCTCTGGGCCTCTGTTACACCCTTCAGGATGTGGGCATCATTTCCGTGCCCTCCATGGTCCCCGCTGACCCGGGAGCTGTTGGAGGCGGGGACTGTCCCATCCCTGCATCTGCATGGACAGCAGCGTGGGGCACGCACGGCACCGTCACCAGCAGGGACGGGGGGGGGCCTGGGTGGGACCCCAGTCTCCGGGTCTCCCGTCACCGCATCAAACTGCAGTGACCCCTCAGCAGATGCAGCAGCTGCGATAGGAGCTGAGCTACCACCACCTGATGTAACTCTTCCCACTTTCAGACCCAGTGACTCCTCCCTGCAGCAGGGGGCGCTGCTCCTGGGGGCTCGGTCCTCGGGCCAAGCAAGAGAAGAGAGGGTGCAGGGGGCCCGGCCCCTGGGCCTGCCCCTCCAGGGTGTCTGGTCTTGGAATGCCAGGCACATGCCCTCAGAGGTGGCCAGACAGAAGGTGGCATAGGTCCCATCGCAGGGGGATGAGGACAGGGCCAAGAGCTATTTTTCAGCCCCCCAGCCTTTCCCCCAGACACACAGACTGGCCTGGGGGCAGGGGCCCTGCGGTCCTGCCCCAGCCTTGCTGTGTCCTTCTCCAAGGGCAGGGGGTGGGGCAGGAGAAGGCTGCGTGACCCCTTGGTGTTGGGGGGCATGGGGTGCCCACGATGAGATGGGTGTACAGAACAGGGGACCTCCCCACCCTTTGCCCTCATCCCCCCAACTCCACGCACCCCTGCCCCCAAACACACAAGGGCACGGCCGGCCCCCCCAACCTCCTCCCGGACCCTCATCCACAGAGCCTCGCTCACTGCACCTTTTCAACATGTGCCATTCGATTGGTTTCTTTATTTCTTTCTTTAAAAATAGCACATTATAGAAATCAGCAGAAACCCCACAAAAGCAGATGTGGGAGGATAGCACAGTGTGGGCAGCTTGCCGCCTGTCACGAAGGACACGCAGGCGGTGGGCAGAGCCCTGCGCACTTGTGGGAAGCACCGGGAGAGCTCTGGAGGAGACAGGAGCCGCGGGTGCCCCAGGCTGCGCCTGGCGGGGGGGGGGGGGGGAGGGGCGCAGACTGGCTTCCCGCGGGGTGCCCTTCTGTGGTTGCCAAGGAAGCAGGGCAGGAGCGGGAGGGTGCGGAAGTCAGGGACGTCCCCAAGGCCACCCTCATGTCTGAGCCGGGCTGTGGGTTCGGGGGCCCCAAGGCCGCCCTCGGTCTCTACCAGGCCCAAGGAGCACTCTGAGCCCTCGGGTGGCTGCTACACTCAGTCGTGGTCTATTGCACAGAACCCGGGTTGAAATCACACACGGAGCATTGTCACCGGGGAAGTGGCGGAGCCTCGGTGTCCAGTCTCCATCGGGCTCCTTTCCCCAGACTTGGCCGAGCACCCACGTGCGTGGCCTCTGGTCTCCAGACCCCCAGATGCAGGGCCCATCACTGGTCACGCCGTTAGACAGCAGTGGCCCAAGGTCCCGAGGTCCCAGGGACACGGAACATGTGGATGGGGCGGGCCAAGAGCTGCGCTCCCAGGGCCAAGGTGGCAGCGTGGCAGTTTCTCCTGCGGGTCACCGGGCATCAAGGTGGCAAGCGAGAGAGGCAGCCGTGGTGGGGTCTGTCCTTGAGGATCAGGCTCCACCCTCTGCTGCAACGGGCACCCCCTTCCCGGGGACCAGCTCCACGTGGGCTCATCACCGGCTCCCCAGCCAGGAGCTCCTGCCCCAAGTAACCTCATCCCAGGGGTCGGCTCTGGGGGAAACCGAGGCAGCTGTCTGCTCTTAATCTTATCCCTCCGGGTTGCAGGAGGAGACAGGGACTCAGGGTGGCCCTGGGTGGCAGGGCCGGCTGAGAGGTTGCCACCTCTGCCCTTGTGCGCCCCCCCCCCCCGCCCCATGGCTCACTCCCCCACCCTCTGCAAACATAAAGGCCTGGAAGACCCTTTATAAAGGGCTGGAAGCCCAGAAAGTCTCAAAGCAAGGCCCACCCCCCCAGATCACTCGCTCCAACAGGGAGCCCCAGAGCTTGGGAACAGACTGGCAGTGGTGACCGGTCTGTCCCCAGACGTGGGAAGCGAAACGTGACCAGCACAACCTTCGCCAGTCTGCGTGGGGCATAGCCCCCCTCTGCCCTGGGGGTGAAATGCTGGGGCCCTAGTCCTCCTTGGGTTTGCAGGGCTGGCGCCGGGCCAGCCTGTAATCAACGTAGGTCCCCAGGCAGGACCACAGGAGGAAGCGTGCTAGCAAGATGATGACCAGCAGGACCAGGAGGGGGTCGGGGCCCGAGCTTCCCCCAAACCAGGAGTCCATGCCGCACGCGAGGGTGGGCGGCCTGAAGTGCAGCAGCGCTGTGGTGTGGTCCGGACCGCAGGGGGGCCCTGGGTTCCAGGCCAGGCTGTACCAAGTGCCCACAGTGCGGCCAGGGGCCTGGGCTGGGTGCTCAGGACAGCTGGCGGCCCCGAGGCCCACGCCCACCCTCAGGAATGGCCCTGTCCTCCCTGCAGCCCCTCCAGGCTCCAGTCCAGGGCCTCCCCGGCAGGCGAGAGGACAGATCGGGGACGGCTAGCGGCCGCCTTGGTCAAGAGGCCCGTGCGCCATTCATCCAGAATGAACCGCTCTCCGGGCCGACAATGGCCGCATTGTGGGGAGGCCCAGGGCGGGCGGCTGCTGGCCCCCCTCTGCCTGCTCCCCCTGCGCGCCGGCGCTGACGTAATCTGCAAACGTCTCCGGCGGCAGCTGCTGGGCGAAGCTGGCCACCTTCTCCGGCTCTTTCAGCCGCCCACGCCCGCGCTTCCGGCCCCGCGAGACAATCGGGCCCTTTCTCTGCCCAATTAGCTATCACTCGGGAGGCCGGCGCTGTCCAGCGGCTGTGGTCCTCACAGCAGCAGCAGCCGCAGCAGCAGGCCCAGGACGGGGCGGGGGCAGGGAGGCCCGGGGAGCTGGGGCCGCGGCGGGGACGCCGGCAGAGAGCTGTGGGAATGCAAAGGGGAGAGAGAGGGGAGAAGGTGAGGACAGGCCCCTGGGGCCCAGAGAGGCCCGGGACGCGGCTCGATTAGCACAGGGGCCGAGACAAAGCAGAATGGGGGTCCCAGCACCACCTCCCTGCCCACCCGCGCCAGCAGACCTATGGCCTGAGCTGAACGAGACAGTTCTGTGGGGTCCCCTCACATCCCTCACAGTGACCCTTGTCCCCAGCCACGTCCCACTGCAGACTCCCCAAGTGACCTTGGGCAAGTGGCTGAACCTCTCGGGGCTACGGACTCCTCGTCAGAAAGGGAGGCAAGCGACAGGTGCCTGCTTGGAGGCCGTGGAGAGGACCAGGGGCAGGTGCCGCACAGGGGGTGGCCCCGTGTCTGGACCTGAACCTCTGCCCCCTCTCCTCCCCCAAAAGGGGCCCTGAGATGGGCCTGCCCAGCTTTCTCTGCCCGACACACACGTGTGAGCACACACGTGTGCACACGCACCTGTGCCTCCACAGACTCAGTCCACCACCAAGCTCTCTCTCCGTGGGTGAAGACACGGCCTGGGCCCCTCCTCTAACCTCAGCCCTGGGGCCCCTGAACACAGAGGGACCCCCTAGGAGGAGCGGGATGTCTGGATGCCCGGTCCTGGGGGTCCAACCACCTTCTCAGTGGGGAAGTGGTCCGACCCCACTCCCCGAGCCAGAGAGCTCGGGGCCCCCCAGGGCCGAGGGATGCCTGGAGCCAGCTCAGGCTCCTCCACCCACAACATGACCACGCACTCCCACCCAGCCTTCCTGGGGGGCTCCAGGAGTCAGTGCAAAGGTTTCGGCAGTGAGCAAACCTGGAGGTGAGCAGCGGAGCCGGAGGACACGCTCCCCTGATGACAGTGCCAGCAAACCCCAGACCTGCGCTGAGCGCCCTGCGGCCCCCAGGGGTCAGAGGCCCCCTGGGAAGCGTGCTGGGCCCTGCTTTGCTCTCTGGGTGGCAGCTGGACACAGGGAGGCCCCAGCCATGGACCTGGCCCAGGGGTCCAGCGCATGAATGGAACGAGTCTCTCAGGGAACATGTCACTTCCCCTGGGTTTACCTGCCGTGCGCAGAGGGTTGAAGACCACTTCAAACTCGCAGGAGAACTTAGATGGTGGGGTCCCAATGTGGTGTTGGTCACCACAGGGGGCTTTGGCGAGGATGCGGCTGCTGGCGGCGCTTCCAGAACCATGCAGAGACCCCTCCGCAGGTTCACCGGTTCCCTCCCCGGAGATGCCACCAGCCCGCAGAGGGAAGGTCCCCGGGAAAGCAGCGGTGAGCTGGGGAGCAGGAAGAGGCGGAGTCCCAGGCAGTGTCCCAGTCACCTGCGCAGGCAGGGTCTCGGGTGGGCGTCCTGGGGGCGCCGCGGCACCAGGCAAACGCACAGCAGAGCCCTGTTCCCAGCCTCTGACCCCGCAGGTGGGGACAAGGTGGCCCTGGATAAATCTGTTTGCCGAGCGCAGGAAGTCAACAACGCCCCATCACGTGACATCAGGCAAGGAAACTCAGGGTCACGGTGCCCCCCCTTCCTGCTCAGACGTCCCCGGCCCCAGGACTCCGCGAGGCCAAGGTCAGCAAGCCCTTCAGGAAAGGCAGCGAACGGCTCTCCTGCCCTGGACAAGGTCAGGGCTGTTCCCAGGGCTGCCTTCTGAGAAAGGTCTACCTGGTGCAGGTGCAGGACCTCAAGCGGATGGGGGGGGGTCCGTTGCCCACAAGGAAAAACGATGGACAATGAAGCACAGCAGGTGGGCCCCGCTGGCTCAGCACCCTAGTCTCCCTGGGTGGGCGCCAGCGCTCCCCACTCACGGGAAGGAAACGCCCCAAGTCACCCCAGCACTGGTGGCGATGGCGAGTGTGGGTGCCGTCAGGGTCCCATCCACAGGCCTGGGACCCCTCTGTCTGTCTCTGTGCCCCCTCCAGCTCCTCCTGTGTCCCTGTGCTCCCCATATGGCTCTTCCTGGGGGACACCCTCAGCCTCCCTGAACGGCAAAGGCAAGTGCCCAGGGCTTTCATCTCCTTCCCCCACCCCAGCAGCTCTTCGAAGACTGACCACGTGGGGCACAACGGAGGCGTGACGAGAGCACTTGCTGGGAGCAGGACTAAGGGGAAGGCCAACCTCGGCCCCCAGAGTTCCCCTCCAGATAGCAGTGAACTTGGGGCCTGAAGTCCCACCTCTTCTCGGCCTTTCCCTCCCCGACTCCTCCCTCCCGCTTCTACTGGGTGTCCTTCCTCATACAGCACCCGCCAGAATGCAACTCGTGGCAAAGATGACAAAGACGACCTGCGTCCCTGGAGCCGAGCCGACGAGGGCTCCTGTCCTGGATCCCCGAGGACAGACTGGGGACCCGGGTTAAATCCAGGCGTGCAAAGGGCTGGGAGGTCTTCCCGCGCCACACCTCCCGCCAGTGAAGCAGTGACCTGCACCCGCTCCCTGATGGGCCCTTTCTGCAGGTGGGGTCCAAGGAGGAGGACTCGGGACAGGGGCACAGCCGGTCCCCTCCCAGAACCAGCCCCTCCATGGCAGCAGCGCTGGAACAAGCCCCAGGGGCCCGTTCGAGCTGCCGGCCGGGTCCACAGAAGCCGGGTCTGCCTCAGGGTGTCCCCACCGTGCTCTGGGCCTTGGCTCAGCCCCTCCCCATGTTCTGCACAGGAGGCCAAGGCTGAGAGCACTTTGGAGCAGAGAAGTTCCAAAAGGGGAGGACAGACGAGGGCAAAGACTGTGTCTGACGGGAGCGTGACTGACCGAGAACTTTCCGGAACTGACGGAAGACAGCCAGCCACAGATTCAGGCTTCCCGGAGAATCCCGCAGAAGACAAAGGCAAAGCAACTCACCCCCGGAGGCGCCACGGAGAAACTGCTGGGTCTCGAGGAGGGACGGCTGCAAGTGCACCTGGGATTCGACGCACCCCCAGGCACATTTGTTACGGTGACAGAGAACTTGCCTTGAAAGGAGAATTTCTACTGTCCCTCCAGCTCCCAGGGAGGAAAGGACAGGTGTGGCGAGCACATCGCCGCTGCCGGGGCCCCTGGGGGGGCACCTGGACTACCAGGTGTAGGACCAGTGAGACGTTCAGTGGAGGTGTCTCCTCTCGGGCAGAAAGTAAAACACGGATTTGGGGATGGGGGGGGCAGTCGGAGGGTTTTTTAATGTGACTTTCACACACTCGGGAAAACACAGGGACGACACGGACACAAATAGCTTCGGCCATTATTTCCGCCCATGATTTCAGGATGCCAAATCCTCAACTACGGAACAGCAGAAATGATTATCACAGCAGAGAATGTCCCAGGAGCCGCCGGAGAGGCGAGGCAAAGCGGCAGGGACCGGCCGAGGCCCGCCGAGGACCCGAGGCGGGCCCGTCCTGGTTCTGCAGGGACCAGGGGAACCCAACTGCCCAGACCTGTGAATTCGACCAAAGGCGTCTGCACGGCAGTCCATGCTGGGGCTCCTCTGCCGGTGAGTCTGCAAAGGCACCCACGGGGTCAGGGGGCGGCAAAGCCTGGACTTCAGGAGAAGCAGGCTTATCTGTCGTCCGACAGATGACACCACACCCCACCCAGCAGCCGCCTGCGGCTGCCCCCTTGCTTCTCGTCCTTGCAGACGCCGGCTTTTTCATGGCTGGCGACCCAGTGGGCGAGAGACGGCGTCTCGGGCGTGGTCTGGATCTGCGTCTCGGGGTGTATTTTCTACACGCTCTTGGCGTTCAGGGTTCCTGCCCTGGGAGGTGACTGCGGGCTCTTCCACCCGCTGGGCCGCTGCTGCTGCTGCTCCTTGGTGGCTTCCAGTCTGTGTTCCCTGGGCAGAGCCTTTTGCTTCCTGTCTTCCGATGCTCCGATGACACCTGGGGCCTCGCTGTCGCTCCTAGAGACAGACAACGGCTCCCCCGCTGGCACGCTCCCCGGACACAAACCATCCCGGTGCCCCGGGGACGACTGAAACTGCTCACCCCGGCCGGTCCTCGGTCTGCTCGCCCTGCCTCCATCCCTTCCCACTGAGACCACAGCGAGGCCTCCCGCGCACACCTGGGGACCCGGGCGTAACCAACTATCTTTCCAACAGCAGTTGTCTCCTGATCTGCCGGCTCAGTAATGAAGCCTTCATGAAAACTTTCACTTTCTTCACACCGACTTCCCTCCGGTCTGTTCTCAGTGTGGCCGTATCTCCTCTCAGTGTGGTAGTTCGTCTTTTCCTGCCTTTTTTCCCCGATTCTCACCCGGGGATCTGAGGCTTGATTTTAGAGAGAGGAAGGGGGGAAGGGCGAGAGGAACATCGATCTGAGGTCTCCCGAATGCACCCCAATCAGGGTCGAGCCTACAACCTACGTGTGTGCCCCGACCAGGGATGAAACCCGCAACCTTCTGGTGTTCAGGGTGACCGGCACTCCAACCAGGTGAGTCACCCAGCCGCAGCTTTTGGTGCTTTTCATGGTGTTTTTTGATGAACCTAAGTTCTGAATGTGATGCAGTCAACTGTATCCTTTGTGCTACAGGCCGTAATGGGGACGGCAAGGCAAGAAAGCAAGTTAAACGCAGCAAGACCAGAGAAGACACAACCGGGTCATCGCCCCCAGGTGCAAGGCAGAGGGGCTGGGTCACGTGACAGGCCCCACACAGCACCCCCCCCCAGGGCGGCAGGCCCCTCTGCTCACACATCCTTGGCCAGAGCAAGTCCCATGTTCATGCCTGACGCCGGGGGGGGGAGGCGGTCCCTTCCATCAGTAGGTTATGTCACGCAAGACTCTGTCACAGCAGAGGAGCGAGGGTCTCCTGCCGCCTTTGAGGACATGAGCTGCCACATGGTGAGAGGAGGGGCTCCCTGGTGGGACCCGAGGACGGTCTCCAGGATCCGAGAGCCCCAGAGCCCTGGCTGACAGCCAGCGTGGAAACAGGGACCTCGGCATTACAGCTGCAGAGGACTGAACTCCGACACCCCGAGAGCTGGAAGTGGGCTCCTCCCCCGAGCTTCTCTGGGAGGACCTGAACCTCGAACCCGCCGAGCCCGCTCAGATCCTCCGCTAAGGAACAGCGGGCACGTGGACAGACACGTGGACAGGCATTGCTGGAAGCCACTGCACATGTGGCCCTTGGTCGGGAGGCACAGGTGACCGATGCTGATTGCGTAGAAATCCGAAACCCACCCTGCGCCTGAAACATCCCGAGCTCCGACTATTCGGTGGAGAACACCGGGTACCAGCACGATTCCCTACCTCACGCTTTACACGAAACTCCAGTCCAGGCGGCTTAACCACAAAGGTGAAAAAGTCGTGTCCTCTACGTGACTTTGAGAAGACAATGTAGAAAAACACTTTTATCTTAACCCAGAAAGTACAAACCATACAAGAAACGATCGATCAATTTATTACTTTTCGACAAGCGGCCAGAATGTTTGCCCTCACAGACTCGCCAGGAACGACAGCCCCGAGGAAATGTTGCCGAAGAGAAATAATTACAGAAGGCAGATGTAAAATGCAGGAAAGAAAAGTCATGAGCCGAGGCACGGGGAATCGCTGGGTAAATCCAAACAAACGCCAACTGTAAAACAGGAAAATCAGGGCTCACTCGGACGTTAAAATTAGAAATGAAATAGTAACACAATCGCTCGTAGGTCGGAAGAACGTTGACATATTCCAAGGTCGTGTATCGTTGGGAAGGGATATAAAATACTGACGTAGACATTTAAATGTTTACTACATCTGGTAAAAGTCTTCAGGGTCAGGACTAAAAGGACAGAAATTGAAAGTACAAGTTCCAAAATCGCAGAATAGGAGGGAAGAAAATGAAAAAGACCAGCCACCTGGAAAGCTGAAAATAAAGGGCAGAGATAAGCCCCACCACCCCGAGGGCCTGCGGACAGGAACGAGACTGCTCTGAACTTGACCTTGAGATGACACCCCGCTGAGCCTTACAGGGTTTGCACGGGCTGTTTGCTCCTCTGCCTTCAGGTTTCAGCTTGAACGTCACCTTCTGGGAGAGGCCTCCATGGACCTCCCCGTCGGGCCGGTCTCCGAGAACCCCGTTTTTTCCAATGCCGAGGTCCCCTGGCCCAGGGACAGATGTCCTCGTTATTGGTGCATTCCATGTTTGCAGCGTCTCTTGCTCAAGAAAACGGATGTGAAACCCAAATCGACACCCGCAGCCAGTCCACAGTCGTTCACTGCTGGGCGTGGGGCAGGGAGTGTCCGGACGCAGCCCCCCCCCACCCCCGCCCGAGGCCGAAGGAGGCCACAGCTGCCGATCCAGCCCACGCCATGAAAAGGAGTCCTCGTGGCCTAGTTTTGCATTTCTGAGCATCACGGAGGCGACTTTGGCGTTCGAAATGGTCCCGGGCACACTGTGGTGTGATTCTCGGAGACGGAGGGCATGAGAGGAGACTCACTCAGGCGTGAGCGACGGAGCTGCTGGCCGCGGGTTCCATGTGGATGA